ACAAGAAGGCAAATCAAATTCAACAGCATAAATTCAGCATAAAGTCTGTACCTTTTCTTTAATTATTTGCCTCTAACAAGCATGGTGCATGGTGTATTTATTGCTCACCTAATAAATAGTGTGCATGAATAAAGGTTAATAAATGTTGTGTATTGGACTATTGGTTACTGTTTGCTTATGTATTATTCGGGTGCTGGCTGCAGGTTAAATAGTATTCCAGATGCCAGCCCAAAATTATGGAGTATTCCAGATGCCACTGAAAATTAGAGAGTATTCCGGATGCCAAAGGGGGGGGGGGCATGGACCCCCTCATTAATGCGCGAAATCACAATGTTTTTTTTTTCAGCACAACGGCGCTGCATTTTGCTTTGCTGTGTCGTGTCGTGCCGCGTGTGTGGAGACGGGCCTTTAGGCCCTTACATTATTCATATTATTGTATCTACTAATCTAGTCTTGGGCCTGGGCCTGGGCCGTGCCGTGGTCAATCACTCAATCAATGACCCTAACCCAATGGCAATGGTGTAGAATCCGTCAGAACCTAATTCTGAGGACAGTGATGATGATGCCATGGTGTTTAATTACACTTACTCTTTCCTCTTCGCCGTCTTGTATTGTCGTTTGGCATGGTCGTATTGCACTTATAGAGTTTTCATACATAAACGAAAAAACGAAAATCCCACCATAACGACACTTGCGCACCTATTAACAAATGAACAGCGCCCACATCGTGTAAAAAAAACTTTACCCATGCACTTGGAACGTCTCAATTAAAAAAGAAGAAGGTAAATAAACACGAAAGGTATTTACTACCAAAGTCCTCTACCAAAGTTCTAGCTCCAAGAAACGGTATTGCTAGGGTTAGAATACTGACTGTATATTGACGTCAGTCACACAGCCTGGTCGGGTTACTAAAGTTCGAAAGTTCATAATGTTTGTGCACAGGGCGGGCGTGCGGTGTACTTGTGTGTTGCAGATGAGCATTTGACCGGCTGAGAAATTTACCGGGACACCGGCATTTACGGGTAATTATCGGCAATAATAGGCGAAAATAGAGTAGAGAAACATTAAGACTTTGGTAGTAAAAACATTTCGTGTTTACATTTTTTTATTTTATTGAGACATTCCAATCGAAGTGCCTGTGCCCATGCCCATGGCCATATTGGCCTAACCCTAACCCTAACACTAACCCTAACCCTAACCCTAACCCTAACCCTAAAAATACCTCATATAAAAATATAAACATAATACTAAACAACCTAAAACTACCTCGGGTACATATCTGTAGTACCTGTTACGACAACGACCCTTCGTGCGATACTAATAGCTCTAGAACTATGGCTGCATGGCTCCCCTCCGCTCCACCGCAGGCCGTAGGTGGAGCGGAGGGCTATAGTTCTAGAGCTAATGGTTATAATACTGTTTATATCAAACATCATGAACGATCGATCGTTCATGATCCTTGCGGCCCATATTAATTTTTATTATTGTAAACACATGTTTCGAAAGGTGTAAAACAAAGTAACCTAGTTGTGTTATTTTACTATCATTGTCATCAAGTGTCAATCGACTTATCAACTTCAGTTGAAGTTCCTATTCTAATAGTAATAGTAATACATGGGTGTATGCAGGGGGGGGGGTCGTGAGGGTCGTACGACCCCCCAAAATTTTAAAAGGTCCACATTTTTTCCAAAGACATTTTTTTTCGAGGGCCTTTTCACAATGACATAAATGAAAAAGCATAATTGATCAGGTACCAGCAATGAGTCCAAAGACATTGCCAATTGCGTGACGTAAATCTATCCCAATTCCAGCAATTCTGAAACTGAGCCTTTTTTTTAAACAAAATTTTTTGTTTAAAAAAACTGAGTTAAAAAAAGAGAGACAAAGACTGACAAAGACAAGACAAGATCAAGACAAAGACAAGACAGAGTTCAAAAAACTGTTTTCAACTGAGTCAGAAAACTTTTTTCAAAAAACTGATCAAAAAACTTCAAATTTTTGTTTTAAAAAACTGATAAATTTTTTTTTTAAACAACATTTTTTTGTTTTAATTAAATTGTATTGACATTTTAATCACATCTTGCTGTTATTTCATTGTGAAAAGGTCCAAAAAATTATGATCACGACCCACCCAGAAAAAATCCTGGATACACCCCTGTGATAGTATCAATGCGCTGTATCATTGACGTATAAAAGAGTTCGGTGTTTAGTTTTATAGTGCAGTTTGCTAGCTGGCCCCAATAAGGCAATATCATGGCAATATGCCAATGCCAATGACCTCATAAACACTGAATATATATTCCACGTTGTTTTTTTAATTTCCTCGCAGGTTGTCTTGTGAGGCTAAGGGCTACGTGCGTTTACTGGATAGGGTAGGGCTGCTCTTGTAGAGCAATAGGAGCCAATATCCTTACTAGAAGTAAACGTTCATCAGTCATGGCATTGGCAAGAAAGCCAGTCTGTATAAACGACTTTGAGGTCTTTGCAAAAGAGAAGCTTACCAAGTCCCAATATGAGTATCTTCGGGGTGGCACGGAAGACGAAGTATCATTGAATGAGAACATAAATGCATTCAGAAGGTGCGTGTGATGTTATAAAGGTATATAGTTATTCCAGATACGTTTTGATAGCCGAAGAAAGAGACATGATACTGATAGGACATTCCCCTATCTGTGAGAGCTCTCTTTACAGCTATAGGTGCTCGTATGCAAGGCTCCTTGCAGGAGCGTAGCTAACCCATTTTTTCCTGTGGTAGCAAAGCTACGTCTGTGTTGTGTTCTGGGAAGGTGACCGTCATTGACCATTTAATGTATCTACATTTCTCTTGGGGGATTAACTGCCCCTCTTGCGCCCCCATCCGCTCCTTTTGTTGCCCCAGTGTGCTCTTGCAAGGCTCATTGTGCTCTCACAGGGTCCAGTGTGCTCTTACAGGGTCCAGTGTGCTCTTATATGGTTTAGTGTGCTCTTACAGGGCTCAGTGTGCTCTTACAGGGCTTAGTGTGCTCTTACAGGGCTTAGTGTGCTCTTACAAGGCTCAGTGTGCTCTTACATGGCTTAGTGTGCTCTTACAGGGCTCAGTGTGCTCTTACATGGCTCAGTGTGCTCTTACATGGCTTAGTGTTCTCTTACAGGGCTTAGTGTGCTCTTACAAGGTCCAGTGTGCTTTTACAGGGCTTAGTGTGCTCATACTAGGGCTGTAACGATCCACCAAAATCGAATCGGATCGAGATTCTCTTCCCTCGATCCGATCCTCGATATTTTTCCCCGTATTTTCGATTCCACTTCGATACCACTTTTTTCCTCCAATAGATGGCGGCACTACGCTATATACTGTGGAGTGTTACCAGAGCATATAAATCACTGATTTATATGCTCTGGTGTTACTCACCAATGTTACTCAGCGTGTGCAGTGTATATATACTCTCTAGACTCTCTAGTCTATTCACCATTTAGTATTCATTGGCAATTTCTAATAATTTATTATTGCAAAATAATGAAAATATAAAAAATAAGATAACATTTCAATATTTTGGGAATCAAATCGCAGGAATCGAATCGAGAGGCTAATATCGAGAACCGGATCGAATCGAGAGGCTTGTGTATCGTTACAGCCCTAGCTCTTACATGGATTAATGTGCTCTCACTACTGCTACTACTGCTGCTGCTGCTTCTACTGATACTGCTGCTGCAGTTACTACTACTACTAATAATAATAATAATGGTTCATCATTACAGGTTATGTATTCGACCGCGCTACCTGCGAGATGTCTCCAACATTGAACTAGCCACCACGCTCCTCGGTGCTCCAGTGAGCTGTCCGATAGGACTAGCACCCTCTGCACACCACTGCCTCGTAGATCCGGCAGATGGTGAGATTGGTGCAGCGAGGGCGGCATGTACGGCTGGCATGTGCTTTACTCAGAGTAGCTTCTCCAATAAGAGCGTACTTGAGGTAAACCCATTCTGGGCTGTGTGAATCCCTGTGGGTTTCGAGTAAGAGGCTGGTGCAGGATTGGAATGGAGCGCAATTAACAGCTGTTTGATGAATTACTCCTCGTGTTGCGGATTGTGTAATATCAGGAGTGGAATTATATTACAATTATGAATCGTATTATGTCTATTGACATGCGTGATTGTGACCCAGTGTCTAGGCATTATAGAGCATGATTTTCCATGTATTATCATGTGGTATTTCTAGTAAACTAATAAACGTCAAGATCCAACGAAGAATTGACAGTCTCAGAAAATTACAGAATGAAAAGTTAGTTGTTATCGTGAACATGGCCGTAGATAAATGAGAGTTGATGGGTTGGAATTGAGTTTCTTATCTTGACACCAGGTGGCAGCAGCTGTTCCGACCGGCCTGAAGTGGTTTCAGCTGTACGTGATGCGTGATGAGCAGGTGACAATGGGCCTTATTCGGCTAGCAGAATCGGCCGGATTTAAAGCACTCGTGGTCACATGCGATGTCCCCGTTCTAAGTAGACGTCGCACTGATGTTATATGGCCCCTTGTGCTGCCCAGCCACCTATGCTGTGGAAATTTCGACGCGATCCAATCTGCATCAAGTTCCACCTCGGTAAGTTGATGAAGAAGTAAGGCCAAAAACCCAAGCCTAGTTTAGCACCCTGGATTAGTTTAGCACATGTGGGAAAACACATTTGCGGGGTACTCCCCGGTGGGGGGGGGGTAGTCACTCAAGATATTACTTCGAATACACTCAAGATTTTTACATCTCAAAATTCGACCCTAAACGGCGTATTCAGGGGTAGTAAATTCTTTAAATTTAAGAAAATGTAAATCTTACCCCTAAAAGCCTGCATGTGTCTGACAACCACTTATTCTTGCATCTTGCAACAGTTACATTATAGTATTAGGTGGCAGAAAGCCTACAAACACATCTACCAACCACTAGCTAATTTTTGCATCTTGCTACTGTTACATTATAGTATTAGATGGCAGAAAAGCCTGCTTGTGTCCGATAGCCATCGGTTCTCACTTCTCGCTCCGCCTGACCTTGACCTCGCTTGACCTTCCAGCGTGAGGCCGATACGTCACGCTTCTTCAGCAACGTGCTCATTCACCCAGCGCTGACGTGGACAATGCTCGAACGCCTCGCCGCCTCCACCAAGCTGCCGATCGTGCTCAAGGGCGTGATGTCGGCTGACGACGCACGCCTCGCCGTGAAGCATGGGGTGAGGTGGCGCCACTGTAGCTTTGGCACGTACGCGGCGCTCCGCTCACAATGACGTCAGCGGCACTTTCCAGCAGTCGCCGCTTCTCCGCGTCTTGTGTGTCGTTGGTGTGATTGTGAGCCGTGGGTTATGACTTGATGTATTCATCAGTATTGGTATAGTGCCTGTGGCAGTACATGTACCAGCAACTAGAAGACGAGATTGCTAATTGCTCTTCTAAATGCCCATACTTTGCAATGCCCTGCAGAGGCTGACTGAATGCTCTCTTGACATCATCCATGTTGTTCTCGCCTCTAGGTGTCTGCCGTGTGGGTGTCAAATCATGGAGCCCGACATTTCGACAGCCTCTGTCCAACCATCGATGTTCTCCCAGAGATAGTTGCTGCCATTGGCCACCAGGTGATAGTAGTAGTAGTATTAAAATCTTTTTCAACAAAGTCGTAGTAGCAGTGGCAGTATCAGTACCAGTAGTAGTAGCAGTAGCAGTAGCAGTGGCAGTGGCAACAGCAGTAGCAGTAGAGCATTTGCAGTGGTAGTGAATTATTTACCACCAAAGTAGTAATAGTTGTCATCGTCATCACAGTTAGATATTTTTATTACCGTAATGCACAGCATTATACGATAATAACATAACAATGAAGGCAATCACTGATCTTAAAGCCGCACAATGCGCATCCAAACGCTAATTTCTCCAGTACTAGACTAGCAAATACTTCGTGACATGCATAATCACACTATACCTTATGACAAAATAAACTCTAGTTCCTCCCATTTGACTGCGCGTTCCCAACAAGAAAGAGGTGCGAAATCAGGTAATCAGGCGCCAACGCTAAATTGTTTCAAACAACATAACATCGCGTGACGTCACATGTTTTTATCTTTGCTGCGCCCGTACCGCTGTACCGCGGCACCGCTGCACGGTTGCTTGGAGATTGGGGAACGTCAACAACATTGGAGCTATTTTCAAATACCTTTTATAAGACAACGCGCAGTCAAATGGGAGGAACTAGAGTTTATTTTGTCATAAGGTAGTGTGATTATGCATGACACGAAGTATTTGCTAGTCTAGTACTGGAGAAATTAGCGTTTGGATGCGCATTGTGCGGCTTTAAAGAATAGCATAAAATAGAAATATAATGTAGTATTAGACCATATTCTTTGAACCAACTACCATATTTGTTATATACAGTCAATCCTATGTTATGAACACCTATACAAAACTAACACCTGTCTATCAAAGAAACTTGGTGTATCTATTGAATGGTGGTTATGCAGTGAACCCACCTCTGTATAACTGAGGTCTGTCTATAAAGTATAAGTATATGCACACTTAACATATTAATCGAATGACCCTCATTTGTGGTGCCATGTTTGTTGCCAGGTGGAGGTGTACGTCGACTCTGGGTTCCGCACAGGCACGGACATCCTCAAGGGGCTGGCGCTGGGTGCGCGGGCCGTATTCATTGGCCGGCCCGTGCAGTGGGGCCTCGCGTACGGAGGCTCGAGCGGGCTCACGGAGCTGCTTGACTTGCTGCGAGTCGAGCTTGAGTTGGCAATGGGTCTCAGCGGATGCGCGTCGGCACGCGACTTCGAGCCGGGCCTTGTGTTCAGACGCAGCTGCTGCTCTCGCCTATGATGTGCGGCTTGTCAACAGCACTGCCCCCTGTGGTGGAGCAGTGCTGCCATCTGTGGTGGAGCAGTGCTGCCATCTGTGGTGGAGCAGTGCTGCCATCTGTGTTACACATGGGTGCCACTTACATTACATTCCATCTGTGTTACACAAGTGCTGCCACCTGCATGACATGTGTGTCGAGTCGTGCTGCCACCTACATTACATGTGGGGGGAACAGTGCTGCCACCTACGTTACATGTGGGTTGAGCAGTGCTGCCACCTGCATTACATGTGGGTTGAGCTGTGCTGCCACCTGCATTACATGTGGGTGGAGCCGTGCTGCCACCTGCATTACATGTGGGTGGAACAGTGCTGCCACCTGCATTACATCTAGGTCAAGCCATGCACATATGGGGCAAACGGGGTGTCATTTTTTATTCAGTCATTAGAGTGCAATCAATAATACAAATGTCAGAGGTATGTAGTTTTTCCACGTCCCAGATTTCAAATCGGTGATTCTTGTGAATCGTAAATCAGTGTAGGTTTTGCGGTGAAAGGGTTAGAAAAATGCACATTTTAAATTTACAGATATATCGCGAGTTAACTTTTATGTAAACACCTTGCTGTCGTCATGGCCAGAGCAGAGAAGTTTGGTTGTACAAATGTGGAGCTGCGTGGAGTGTGAGTGAATACAGCGAGGTTTCTGTGATATACGTGTCTGTGTTTTAATGGTTTTATAAAGGAGTAATGTTTAACACGTGCAGTATGGTTATCAATCGTGATCACACATTGTGATTAATAAAGATTTCTCAGTAGAACAATCTAAATGAATGCACCGATGTATTTATAATAATATAGCTATGTGTGCATGTGTACACCCACGTATTTCGTTTATTATATGAAAAGCATTATCAAAAGTTATAAGGGAAGCAGCAATGGATGACATGATTGGAAATAGTAGTGAGGCATGAATAATTTTACGACAGAAAATTTTACAATTAAAGAGATTAAACACTTCCCTTTCTACAAGCTACAGCACACTGCATCTACTAATCTAGAAATACAAAAGATTATCTAACAGATGAAAAAATGAAACAAAAAAGGCATAAAGAAAATAACAAACGAGGGTGAACAGTTCTTGACAGAATTAATATTAAACGAAGAAAACTTTATTCCTGATAATGAGACTGCAATCCTCTGCATATTTCGTTCACAATTTGCAACCTGATTACATCAATACAAACGTATCACTGTAAAACCTGCAGTACAAAGAGAATTAAATTTACAATTCTGCATGTGGTCAATATTAATAAATACTGGGAAATCATGGACTGTGTACTTTCACACACTCATGCCATAATGAAACAGCTTCAATAATACACATGCAGTTAGTCTAGTAACCTCAAATAAATATTACCAGTGACAATCTATTCAGCATTCCATTACCATTTTATAGTGCTTTGAGAACAAGCACATCACTATGATGCATAGATCCAGCTTTCCTCTCGATGTTAGTGTTCAATATCATAAACATTCTAAACTGATACAAGTTTATACCACCTAAACCATGGAATGTCTAGCACCTACTGGTCAAATAGCCGTTTAATATTTACCAAAATACCAATAATGAAACGTTTGTAATTCAAGCCACACTTCTGTAGTCTTATTACACTGCACATGTTTTTGAGCAAGCAAATGCCTTTGACATAGACTTGTTCCTCAGGCAGTAAGTTGGAATCTCAGTCAGCTGGCACACCGTGTAGAAAAGATCAGGTTGTAGTCGAGCCCGTCTGAATCGTTGACCCTTGTTGATTGTAGGCACTACGCGTACCTAATGCTCTGGATTATTTGAAAGACAGCTGTAAAAAAACAAAAACAAAACTGTGAATATGGATTGCTAATGCACAAAGTCCAACAACCACATTAACTCAGATAGAAAGATCATCATTGATACCCATCTATATTACAGGCACTATGTGCAATAATGCATGCGTCAGCAACAATATCAAAATAGCCTAAAAACCGATAAGGGATATGTTAATTGTACTATACCAACTCCAGTATCATTCATATACTTATCTAATTGCTGACTAGACATGCTTACCTAAGCACCAACTGTGATTAACATATGAAAATCTAACAGCATAATGTTATACACAATGTTTTGGTAGTGTATAACAACTAACAAAGCAATAACAATATATCATATTAGCCACAATTTTACACAAGTGGTTTCCTAACAGAATAGCTTATTCACTCGCTGCTTGTAATTGTAAACAGAGTAAAAACCACATTATTAAACGAGAGCTCGATGATTCATTAATCGCTGTTATTACCTGATCCACAGACAACGAAGATGAACAAAGCAAGTAGCCATGGTCCAACTGGGTACTTCTCATCTTGCGGCCTCTGCAATTGCAATTAGAAAAGTTAAATAAAAAACACCAGTTGTAATTAAAGTACAAACATTGAACATATATGAAAACATGTCGGTAACTTACGTAGCATATACTTAATTACACACTTTCCCATTAAATTTTAATTGGGTGGCAGAGATGAACAAGTATCATGTGGTCAAGACTTTAACGAGCCTGGAGCACTCTTTAAATTAGTCAGGAGGCAGGTGCCAGGACCACTACTCAAAGTACTTGAAAGCATTTACTAGTATTAACAGTGTAAGTAACAATAACTGGATGACGCTGTAGACGACCACTTTATTCGCTGTTATTTAGAATCAATTTTTGCGTTGAGAGATAGAACGAGGTTCTAGCGACTTCTAGTACTACTACTAGCATTCCACCAAGTAGGAAGTAAAAACTCGTCTCAATGACGCAACTCGGTCTGAACTACACTGACCAAGTTGACAGCACCACAGACTTACCAAAGATTTAGCAACTTGCCCTCGCTGTGTGACATTTTTGCTGTGCTTCTCATTTGCCAATCGCATCCTCTGTTTGCTAGGCATGGCTACTAAGATATCTATGTTACAACTACTAATAAAACAAGAAACTTAACAGAAACGTCCCCAACCAAACACCTGCTGACACTGTGACTGTTTACGTCGTAAAGGCCGTAAAGACCGTGCAACACCCGGAAATAACCTATAGTATGAGAAATAGTTCATACTTAATTATAATGTTTTCTAACAATACTTGCAAATATTTAATTTATTACGCTGCATTATAATTAAATAAATGTTTATGGAGTATAATATATAATTGCACTTCTGATAGAGCATTATAATTATGTGAGCTAAATATAGACTGGCGAAGTGATTTTGACAAGGCACTACATTTTTTGGTTACGTGGCGCTATCGCGAGATAACGCGAGATTTAAGATGGCTGCGCCCACCCCGCCAGTTTTTGCAGGTGCGTAACTAACCTCGTAACCTCGTAAATAATAGTTTTCAAAGTCCAAGGGTCTATATCGTCGAAGACGGAAAGAGACATGTTGATCAAATAAACATATATATAACTTTTAACATTATTTTGATTGCACGGAAAATTGTTCTATTCTGGTGTAATGCGCGGCCAAGGCTAAGGCCTAAGGCCTAAGGCTAAGCCTAGCCCTGGCCTAGGCATAGCCACAAGTTCCCTTCTCGCTTAAAAGTGAACTCTACGTTGGCGAGAGGTCATACGACGTGTAACAGTCGGAGAGCCTGGTCGGTTTAAGCCTAGCCCTAACTAAGCACAAGAAAACCAATCTTAGACTATACATTAAAAATATCATTATTGTATCCCCCGCGACGAAGTCGGCGGGGATACTATGGTTTTATGTCTGTCCAGCCGCCGCCGCCGCAGACACTTTTCCTTCCGCTCTATAACTCGACCCCTAATTGACCTAGCGTGACCAAACATAGTCTACTTACACATCTTGGGGAGAAGGTGCGCAGCGTACCAAAACCAGGTCACTACGACCTTTACCTTGACCTTGACCTTGATTATATTTCCCTTCCGCCCTATAACTCGGCCCCTAATTGACCTACTGTCACCTAGCGCTACCAAACTTGGCATATTTACACATCTTGGGGAGAAGGTATGTCGCGTACCAAAACCAGGTCACTGCGACCTTTATTTGACCTTGATCATATTTCTGTTCCGCTCTATAACTCGGCCCCTAATTGACCTAGCGCTACCAAACTTGGTATACTTACACATCTCGGGGAGAAGGTATGTCGCGTACCAAAACCAGGTCACTGCGACCTTTATTTGACCTTGATCATATGTCTTTTCCTCTATATAACTCGGCCCCTAATTGACCTAGCGCTACCAAATTTGGTATACTTACAAATCTTGGGGAGAAGGTGCGCAGCGTACTAAAACCAGGTCACTACGACCCTTATTTGACCTTTACCTTGACCTTGATCATATTTCCCTTCCGCTCTATAACTCGGCCCCTAATTGACCTAACGCTACCAAAATCAGGTCACTACGATCTTTATTTGACCTTTACCTTGACCTTGATCATATTTCCCTTCCGCTCTATAACTCGGCCCCTAATTGACCTAACGCTACCAAACTTGGTATACTTACACATCTTGGGGAGAAGGTGTGTCACGTACCAAAACTAGGTCACTGCGACCTTTATTTGACCTTGACAATTACCTTGATCATATTTTCCTTCCGCTCTATAACTCGGCCCCTAATTGATCTAGCGCGAGCAAACATCGTATACTTACACATCTTGGGGAGAAGGTGTGTCGCGTACCAAAACCCCTAAGGCAACCAATTTTAACTTACTTCCACATCTCAGGCACATGAGTTGTGTAGCAAACCTTTGTCTTTGTGTTTTATTTAACTTTACTTACCTTCTACGTCCTTACACAGATATTTCATTCATATACTAGATCACGGGGGATACATGTAGTTGGCGACAACTGCCCTTTATAGTTTTATGCGTCTAAACAGAGGAATTTCTCCGACTTGTCATTGGAGGATAAAAATGGAATTCGTGACGTTTCGTTTTGGCATTTAGCCTATGACTCGAGTATGAGCGATACCGTGCGTACATATTTGTTAATTAATTAAGCTATCACCCTTCAATAAATTGAAGACTCACAGGGATCATAGCTAAGACATGTGTCTATAATAGCTAGAATTTATAGCAATGTAACTCAAATCGTTCGCGCCATATATGATAGTTAGTACACTCTCTTACCGGTCATAGCCGCGCGTATATTACTAGCCTATGAGCGATACCGCGCGTGCATATTTGCTAATTAATTAGACTAATCGCGCTTCAATAGACTCAGAATTCACATAGATTAATTTAAGGCTAAGACATATGTGTCTATAATAGCTAGAATTTATAGAAATGCAACTCAAATCGTTCGGCGGGGTATGCAAAACGAAAACGAAACGTCACAAATTCTATTTTTATCCTCCAATCACAGCTCGGAGCAATTCCTCTGTTTAGACGCATGTATTTATACACTTCTATTACTTTTCGTTTTAAAAGTAGGCAGTGGCCGGAGGTACAGCAGTCCTTCACTTTCATACAAACGAGACAAAGATGGCCGGCAGATTTCGAAATAATGCCTTAGGAAATAAATTCACGATTTGAGAGTTTTGATGAGCTAGAGAACACTCGGATTAGGTATGAAAATGAACATTATTGTAAACTTTACATCAGAAGATCGCAAATAATTGCCTCAGCCCTCAAAACAAACGCCAAAAGGGGGCTTTAACGAATGACAGCTGCCGTACCTCCTCCGGGCACTTCGTTAAAAGTAATTTAAATGTTTAATTTGATAATTCGACGAGTGTCACTGCACAGCCACAGACTCGGTGAGACTGCACTGGCAGTGTGCTAGTGTGAATGCAAGTGTGAGTCTATATTAACAACACTCATTCACTCAACACGACAACAGTAACTTGAAAACATAGTGTACTGTGTGAATAGTGAACTCAGCTCACTGACTTACTGACAGTGACTGTCATTTTCAGTTATGTGCACCGACAGTAACATTAACGTACTGACATACCTAACTATAGCATGGATTGGTGGTAATTAGTGAATTTTGGAGATGGAAAGTAAGGGTGTCATATATGCACTGCAGCGCAGGGCTACCACTGCCAGCTGGCATTCACCACCTTTGAAAATGTGATAAATAAATAACAGTGGTGATTTTACTACATTAAAAAGGGTTTATTGCGAAGTCATTGCTCCGAAACGCACAATCTGAAAAAATATAGCTAAATATATGGTCTCACCTCATAGCGAATATAATTACTGATTACACCAACTTGAAAAACACTAAGAATTTATGCTGTTATAGCATAGAAAAATGGAAGTAGTAGTTTACTCCATTTCTAACAGTACAAACAAATGAAAGTATAACAATTTTGAGTATATAATTATCAGATGAAGCACAGGAAAACCAATTGGAATTGATAGAGAGCCTAAGTGGCATACGTGTCTCTGTACTGCACTTTGTTTCTCTCATTTGGTTTGGTTTGTTTACCCGCAATAAACGGTAAATCTGGCCATATTATAGTGAATTCAGTTTGATATGAGAGTGGCCGGCTAAAGTCAGGTTGTTTGTGTTGCTGGTTAGCATATTTATCCTAGTTATTCACATGCTACAGCTAGGCTGTCATGCTGCAAAGATTCAGTGGCATTCTCCAACAGTATTATTAATACGACCCTGTAGCAGGAGCGAAAGGCTACATGGATAGAGTTAAATTAATCCCCCCATGTTAGTTATAAAATGCTGTTTAAAGTATTTTATTTTATTCACATTGTTCTTTCTAGTACGGGGGTCAGAAGGACTCAAGGTAATCAATGGCCCCCCTTCATATGAAGAAAATGATGTCATTACCAGGTAAATGTTATTTTTAATGTGGATTCAGAACTTCTTGCTTTCCTTGTATCTCTGCTATATATAAGAAATAATCGAAGTACTGCTATAAGTGTACAGTTATGGGACATTGTCCCTTTAGTGATATTAACGGAGAGAGAGAACTCTGACAGTTATCGTTATACTGTATTGACATTAGTTCCCTTTCATTTGTTTCAGTGTGTTGCTTACATTTTCTAGTGATATAAAACTTCATTCAGGAAACGAGTTCTTCTTTAATAAGTAAACAAATATAAGGACAAACTAAATCCTACGATTTTTACATTTTGCAGATTGTAATTTAAATTAGCATTGCTGATGCAGTTGTGATAAATAACCAGTATGTCATTTACTATTGAACTATAGGTCCCATGCAGCAGATGCTTCCAGGTGCAAAACAATGAGCTTAAGCAACAATGGAGCTTTCATTGCATGGACAGATGGACAGAGGTATGCTTCATATTGTAAACACGTCATGGTTTAATTTCGTGGTTGAGTGCTCTAAACTATGCACTCAGTTAGTGCTCTATAATTAATTAGAGTTCAACTGTGCAAATGCATAACTTTGCAATTACCTTTTACATTAATTTCTTAACTGCACTTATTTCATGTATTGAGGCATTAAATATGATTGAACTAGCAGGGGTGTAGCAAACTCATTTTGCCTTGGGGAGGAAAGGACAGGAAAGCCAGCCACACAGATTGTGCTCCGGGCAGTTGACTGTGTGCAACTTGCCATTAGACATGGATCATGTAACAATATCTACATGTGTCTAGGGGGCAACTGCAACCTCCACTTGCCAGCTATGCCCCAGAAAGCTCAATATTTCTTGTCTAATAATTTTGTTAAATTCCTTTCTTTAGTCTATTCGTGGTGGAGTTTTCCTCAGGGAAACTAGTTTTCCATGCTGAGGTACCGAAACTAGGTTCTGTGATACTATCTCCCAATGGCACCTATCTCGCTGGCTGGGAGCAATACATCTGTAAGTGATATTTCTTGCTTTTATATGTTATGTATTCGTCAGGATACACTGTTGTTATAACCAGTGTGACATCTTTGTACTCTCACAATAGTAACATGAGCAACTCTTGGAGCGGGGCTTGCATCTAATATGAACCATTTTTAGTAATAAATGTGTTCTTTTATTCTCATCTCATAAGAAAATGAGTTTGTAAAAGTCGTTAATAAGTTTAGCTGTTTATTTTTATTAAACTTATTTGCTGATAGCTGCTTTAGGTGTCATGAATCTCAAAGGCTGTTTTTGTATTTGCAGCTACTGATATTCCTGGTGGCATGCCTAACATGTATTTTTGGAATGTAAAAAGTGGTAAAAAGCTCAAAGATATAACCCAGAAGAAGCAGTCACAATGGTAATGCTAAAACATAGAAGACTGTATACTTGCTATTCTTGTGTTTCTAGTTGCAAATTGACAAACTCGTAAAATGAATGTATTCAATGCATCTGTCATGTCACAGTGATATGGGTTTCAGGTGGGGGTTCAGTTCCATAATAAAATGTTGAATAATAAATTACGCTAGATTATTATGGTCATTGTTACAGAAGTATTTTGATATCAAAGAAATCAGGGCAATTCAAGTGATAACACCTCATTCCACTAGTATAATTCCACTCCATAATATAGTATAACCTGCATCAAATGGTCATTCAGAGGAAACCAAAAACGTGTCATTATTAAAACAGGTGTCTCTTTTATAGAGGGCATGTCAGTGTTTATAACTGTTACTCAAAGAGCTATCTTGGTTAATTTTTACTCAACCGTGTTGATCAAAACGTACTGCTGACGTTTCAGTCCGCTTTGAGAAGACGTTTTGATCAACACGGTTGAGTAAAAATTAACCAAGATAGCTCTATTATCTACCAACCGAATGAACTTATATTAATGTGTTATTCAAAGGAAACGCCAAAGTGTCTTTCATAAACAGGGGTCCGTTTTATAGAGGTGTCTGCTAACATAGGGTTGATGGTCCAGGGTGCGAAATTAACGCGAGTCCGGAGTCAAATACTCCCTGATTTACTGCCCGACTCCCTGATTTGTCCATGTGACTCCCTGAAAATTCTGCTATACTAACTAGTTCGTTCCAGAGCACGGCCTCGCGGAATTGCCGTATTTTTTCAGCAAATGTCCAAAGCAGCCCATTCGGCAGACGTGCAACTGCATAATCTTCAAAATAAGCACGCGCGCTATTGTTAATATCTTTAGTTTTGAACTTTAGACTGCAGACTCTCTCATTTTGCTGCAGACTCCCTCTTTTTGAGGGCAGGGAGTCCCTTGTTGAAAAGTTAATTTCTACCCCTGTGGTATTTGCAACATAGGTGGCCTCAGTGGTCAGCTGACGAGAAGGTATGTGGCCGCATGGCCAACCAGGAGGTGCACTTCTTTGAAGAGGGAAACTTTGGTAAGTTGAATATGGAAAGCTAAAGTTAGTAACGTCATAACACATGTAATTCATGTAACACATGTAACACATGTAATGGAGAGTTCAATGTCGAGTTCTTCATTGCAAAAGATGGAAGTCCATCCTGTGTCCTTTTTAACGGAGAGTTTCTGTAGAATATAACTTTGACGTGATGTATGGTAGAATGAACAGTATTTACGTATTTTTCTTTTATTCTAGATGTGATCGCTCACAAGATGCATGTGCAGAAAGTCATCAGTTTTAGTCTCTCTCCATCTAAAATGGCTCCTTATCATGTTGCTGCATATGTTCCTGGTTCAAAGGTGTATATTATGTTTTTATTCCTTGTCTGTACTTAATACATGCATGCAGTATTATCATGTTAAACTATCTCAAATGAAGGCAAGTATGAAATGTTCTACATTAAAATTTATATGCACTTGTAGATTTAGTATAATAGATGAACACCATATCCTATATAAATGGAAAAATGTGTTCAATAATTGTTCAATAAAACAAAACAATGTTTTGTTATACTTTACCTCGATTTATTTACAGGGCCAACCTTCATTCGTGAGGCTCTATCGGTACCCACGCTTTGATGGCCAACAAGCTATTATTGCAAACAAAAGCTTTTTCAAGGCAGACAGAGTTTTAATGTACTGGAATAAGAAAGGTATAGTAATTAACCGACAACACCTACTAAACAAACATATGATTGTTATTATCTTATTATTATCATAATTATTATTATTGTTGATGCAAGGGTATTATGAAGTTGTTTTATATGAAGAATGTGACTGACAATAAGAATAATCGTTTATTGCCAATGATAATGGGCATTGCACTATAAGTTTCCCAAATTATGTAACTTTCACACTTATATGATGTCACCATGATTAACATAATGTCACTGTGAAATTTGTCTATCAGGCACAGCAATGTTGGTGATGGCTGTCATCGATGTAGATAGTAGCAACACGTCTTACTATGGTGAACAGAAGCTTCACTATATCGACACAGGTGGCGCCAGCAGTACAGTCTCTTTAGGTGAGCCGAGATCATGAGTAATTATTGGCATTGCTGATTTCAGATTGGTTTTACTGGTACTTACGTGTTCATGATTTTAGGATAAAAATGTGTGCAGTAGTGAGTAATTGTGGATTCTTTCTGTGTTGTGTCATCTTTAGTAGCTAGACCCATTTTAGGGATATTGCTGATATGTTTTGATAAATACTAATCATATAGCCAATAATTGATGATGTTTATGCAATGAAACGTTATATTTTGTTCCGAAGATTATTTAAATTAAATTAAAATGACACTTAACAATAATAACTCTATATGAAATGGAAGAAATAGGAAAAATAGCCTATATTGAGGTTAATGTAAAAATAATATAGAGATTTTATACATGATAAAGATGGGAATTGAGCCATCATGGGAAATTGCCATATATATATATATTTTTAATCGCAGGAAAAAATGGACCTATATATCACGTGGAGTGGAGTCCAACCTCAACCGAATTCTGTGCTGTATATGGCTGTATCCTTTTTATGCACAAAATGATACATTCTGGCATCAGTTTCTGCGACTTGTATAAACGAATATTCAATTTAACGTGATATAAGTACGATGTTGAGATAGTTGGGCTATGAAATCTGTTCCATATGATTGAAATAATTGCTTTCCTTATTAGTTTCTTGTAGTCATGCCAGCCAAAGCAACATTGTACAGCACCAAGTGTGAGCCTCTGTTTGACTTTGGTGAAGGGCCAAGAAATGCAGCCTACTTCAGTCCTTTTGGGAATAATATCCTTTTGCAACTCTGTTTACCGATATGTAGTAAACATCAGTAAAGGGTGCCTAACGGCTGAGATTTGTTGTAATTGTGAATGTCACTAACATTGAAAGGTCAAATATCATTATAAAGATCTCAGCGCAGGCAACAGTGGTTTGTTAAACACTATATATATTGATAGACTCACGTGTTGCTTATGACAACAATATTTTACGATGTGTTTGTGTATGTTATTGGTTGCGTGACCAAACACAATGTGATCTTATAAAAGAACAGGAGTAAATGAGATGACAAATTTTTCTTTGAATTTCACAATTCTATTTACACTGCTTACGTGTGGCCATCCTTGACCGTTTGAGCACTGCTCGTTCTGGCTGGGTTTGGAAACCTGAAGGGCCAGTTGGAGTTCTGGGATATGGAAGTGCATCAGTTGATGTGCAAGTGTGTGGCGTCTGATTCCACATTCATGCAGTGGTGTCCGGATGGGGAGCATCTTCTCACGGCAACCACGTCGCCACGGTTACGGGTGGGAAATGGCTACAGGTTGTGGCATTACACAGGTAGATGTATTGCTGGCTGGTAGGACGTTTATCTAATGTTGCGGAGGCGAAAACTCAAAAGTCTTGTGAGTGTGTGCTTTATATACACATGCGCAGATATGCACGCACGCATGCACATGTAAGCTGCTTCGTTTGTGCGTTAGTTACGTAGCATTTTAGGCTGATTCTGGCACCACACTATGCATGCTAGGGGTGGGTTTGTATGTGTGTCGGTGACAGGATATATATTTGTATTCATGCACTGTGAAAAACCCACGTTTGTGTTTTCTTACCCTATTCACTTGCACTACAGATGCAATTGTTCAGCATAAAATTCGTTCTAAAGCTAATTTAATGATTCAGAGCTCAAATGATGTCTGATTCGTGAGGTAAAGGTGTGTAGGGCCCAGGCCCGTAGCCAACTTTATATTGGGGGGGGGGGTTC